TACTTCTTTTGTGGGTTGTCTTCTGTTTTGAATTTTTTTTATGAACATGTATTCCTCTAATTGACTAGCTGTTGAACTGATGTGGTGTTTATGTGTGCAGGGGCCAGGTTAGACTGGTCCATGGCAGTGGAGCCACTGGGCTTCAGCTGGTCCAGTCATACTCTGACTCTGATGACGACAGTGATGGAGCCTGGGAGGGTCGGCTGGGAGACCGCTACAAACCACCAGGTGACTTTCCATTGACAACGTTAACTGTCCAGGCTACAGATTCACCGATTGCAAATTTTTTGACTGATTCCGCTTTCTGTATTTTTTTTTTTTTTCAGAATTTTTTTTCTAAGTCTGATCTGCCAATTCCAATTTTATTTCTTTCTAAGAACTGTAATTGACAGCGTAGACAAACATTTTTGTAACATTTGTTTAATGAAAAACTAAAGTATAATAGTAGTAGTATTACATTTTCTGTCTTTCTCACCTTTTTTTTTTTAACAAACCTCCAACCAAAAATGATGTGCAATATTTGTACTTCTCCAAATATAAACATGTGCATCAGGTAATAGAAACAGAAGATTGTCCTCAGTCCTCCTGAGCACACAGTTCTTTTTGTAGTGTGTGTAGTTTGCATTTGCTGTTTTACCACGGTTTGAATACACACTATGTATACATGCATTTCATGTGTAGCCAATATTCATTCATTGTGTACTATCCATTAGAGATTTTGGCATAGTTTTCTCTTCTGTAAGGTGTTTTTGTAGGCTCCTTTTACTACTTTTTGCACACCAAGACCTTCCAGTGCACAAGTGAACACACATTTGGTGTGGACATGACCTTGAGCGATGCTCAAGGTGCATGCGAAATGCTGTACACACTATGCTTTTGGTCTGAGCACAACGTGAACTGTCATGCCTCTAAATCTGACTGGAACAGAATCTGATATCTCAGAGTGATCGGTTGGTCACCGGTAAAGGCCGATTACAGTAAAGGCTGATCACAATGAAATCTGGACATTTCCAAACTCTGCTGATCGACTGGTGTTTTTCTAGTCCAGGAATTAAGGTAAGAAAGTAAGTTTTAGCTTACCTCTTACTATTACTTTTTTGTTGAAACGTTGTTTTGACAAACACTTACATTTGAAAGCTAATGGTTATTTGTCACAGCAGAAACACTGCCTTGCATAGTTAAATAGCAGTGTTTTGGGACAATGTTGCTGACAATTTGCTCTTTGTGTACTTGATAATCCACTCAGTACTCAGTAGCAGGAAGAATGCTAGTAATATGTAAGGTATTAATTACGGATGCACATTGTACTAAGAGTAATGTTATTTTTTATTCAGTAATATCCTAAAGCTTCCAGGTTCGAGCCCTGGCCGACCCGGTGCCTTTCTGTGTGAAGTTTGCATGTTCTCCTTGTGCCTGCGTGGGGTATGAAGGCCACAATGTGCTAACCCCTGGACATAGGAATAAAGCTTAACCTCTCACACTAAGGTGGCATATTTGAAACATATTAAAGCTCCAAACACTGCTTGAGGTTTTATGACGGACATATTCACTCAGTAACTGACTACCATGAACCTGTGAACAGAGTTCCCTGCAGACCTCCCTCTTTCATGTTATTAATTCAGGATAAGACCCCAAAACCTCCCAAATAACAACAACCGTCAGATATTACTGTACTGAGAAATTTCTATAAACCAGTATACTCTAGCCCTTTGAGGAGGTGTTACATTTTGTCTGAAATAACCAATAAAAGCCGTGACACTGGCCACTTAAGACCATATTTGTTTTGCACAGTATTTAGTTGACATAAGATCAGAATCAGAATCGGAATCTGCTTTACTGGCTAGGTGTGTCAGACACTGGTACATTGCCTCTCAATGTGTATATACGTATCCCCATGCAAGGGGCAAGTAAACAGTAGACCAGCGTAAGGCTGTATAACAAAAAATAGACAGTATTAACAAGCAACAACCAGTATAAACAGGCAGTAAAAAAAATGCAGACAAAGGAATGCTCATCGAGATGAGATAACAGGAATGAGGTAGAATAAAAATGGAGTACTTAAAATAGAGACCAGGGCAAGGGGTGAGTAAACAGTAACTAGCATAGGCTGTGTAATACACCAAAAATTAGCAGCGCAACAAGCAACACACATTGCAAACAATGCAAAATAAGCAGTATAGACAGCAGTAAATAATGCAAGAAACAGAGGCCTGTATGAATCTGTTTGATTTGTACAAGATATATTCACAGCTATTGCACTGAGGGTTATGGTCCAGTCATACTGTCGTTGGTTGAGTGTTCATCAGAGTGATGGCTTGGGGGAAGAAACTGTCCCTGTGCCTGGTTGGCTTGGTGCACAGTGACCTGTAATGCCGTCTAGAGGGGAGGAGTTCAAACAGATTGTGTCCAGGGTGTGAGGGGTCTGCAGTGATCCTCTCCGCCGTCCTTTTGACCCATGATGTGTACAGGTCCTCCATGGAGGGCAGGCTTGCACCAATTACCTTTTCTGTAGTCCTGACTGTTCGCTGAAGTCTGTACTTGTCCTGTTGGACGTCCACTTCAGGTCTTGGGAGATAGTGGCATCTGACTCGCCGACGCCTCGGATGAGATCAATGACTGTTGTATCATCAGCAAACTTTAGGAGCTTGACAGTGGGGTCTTTTGAGGTGCAGTTGTTGGTGTAGAGTGAAAACAGCAGAGGGGAGAGCACGCATGGGGGGTGCCTGTGCTGATTGTCCGGGTGCTGGATGTGGTTTTCCCCAGTCTCACCTGCTGCTTCCTGTCTGTCAGAAAGCTAGTAATCCACTGAGAGTTGGGGGCAGGCACAGTGAGCTGGGTCAGTTTGGAGTGGAGGATGTCCAGGATGATGGTGTTGAATGCAGAGCTGAAGTCCACAAAGAGGGCCCGTGCATAGGTCCCTGGGGAGTCGAGGTGTTGCAGGATGTAATGCAGTGCCATGTTCACTGCATCGTCCACTGACCTATTTGCCTGGTAGGCAAACTGCAGGGGGTTTATGATGTCCTTCAGGTGGGCCAACACCAGTCTTTTGAAGGACTTCATAACTACAGATGTTATTAAGGATTGGAAATTTAAAGGATAGTGTATATTATATAACAAGTAAACAGCTGGATATTTTATATAAAATATTTTTTGATATAACTTTCTAAACATTACCTCCCCTCTCAAGAGCCAGCCAGTTTGTATGGAATTCGCCCGAGCAACAAACCCAATCAGAAAAGTGCTGCTTGTGCTGTCACCATTAGGTTTCCGCAGCTAGGCAGCTCATTATCACCGCAAGGTTGCTACTGCCTGTTTTAACTCTCTGAGACACTGTTGAGAAGGTTGGCATACTATTAACACTGTTGATTGTTGAACAATATGATTAAACTCATTATCTAGTTGTGTTCTAAGATAGGGCATTTGAATTATAATGTGTGTAATATAAGGAGTAAACAATTGACTAGTTCATTTAGATTGTTTTTAAATGACTGTCTGAAAATTATGTCAATATTCCAATGTTAATTTCAAGTCATTCCCTTTTCAGGAAGCTGCATTTATACTATTTATTATAGTCTTAAACAGCCTTGAACATTACCACTTATAAGTGTAAACCCACTAAAATCATAAGAATTGGTAAAAACCTGACTCAATAAACACAGCGTATTAAACCTTTTGAGGAATTTTATATAGAAGCTTAAAAGAGTTACAGCAAAGTAGCGAGATATAGCATTAAAATCATCAGTAATTGTTTTGATCAACTTACAATCTAAACTACTATTTCTAAACATAAATCTTAAATGATCATACTGATTAAAATTATTATGGTTGAGCTCTCAAGACACTGATTAAAAGGTTTGCTCATGGTCACCAGTCCTCAGCTGGCTCTAGGTAAGGTAGTAGCAGGTTGAGCAATCGCTTGTTCCTCTTTTTCCTTTTGACCAGGATTCAGACTTTCAAAAGGAAAAAATTAATAGATATATCCATCCATCCATCCATTTTCTTCCGCTTATCCGGGGCCGGGTCGCGGGGGCAGCAGTCTAAGCAAAGATGCCCAGACCTC